TGGCTGCCGTTCACGCCAGACGATGCAGAAAAAACCATGTGCGAGCCAGAGGGTGGACAGGAGCCGCAGGATATTTTCAGCAGGTCTAGAAATGTGCACAAATAGTCCTTGTCAAGCAGTACTCACTTGTACTTAGTTTTTTCGATCGTTTTCTTCGTCTTTACTGGAGAGTCGCCTGTGGTTAGCAGCTCATCTTCATAACTGAATCCCACCGGCCATATTATGCAGCCTTGGACCTTGTCTTTACTTTTACGTATCATATGTGGTCTCCCTGACCAGCTTTCACACTTCAGGATTTCTTTCGGCACACGCAAAGAAACCGGGCAATCCATTTTAAACACAAAGCCCATTTTGACTTTTGGAAGCTCGCACCAAATGCACTGGGAATATCGGGAGATGTCCCTCAGTGTGAGGCACAATGAGAAAGAATTACTGTGCGGCACTCCACTGAATGCCGAGAGAAAGTGGTAGTTACACCCTCTACAGTTGAAGACTACGCAGAATGAGGACTAGCCAGTCGTAAGGCAATAGGAACACTATCATCATTCAAAAAATTTTATAGATCGAGAATCCCGAAAGAAGGGTATCGTTAGTTGATTAGATTATTTTGATGAATCTCGACTTTTTATTACGCCTTCTTCTCTTCTTTAGGTGACTAATCCTCAGCTCTCTTTTCTTGAGGCCCCTTCTTAGGTGCATCCGCCTTCTCCTCAACTTTCGGAGCCTCCTTCGGACTTTCTGAATCGTCTTTAGAGCCTTTCGGTTCGTTCTTGGAACCTCCTGGCTCATCTTTAGAATCTTTTTTCTCGTCTTTGGAACCCTTCTGTTCGTCCTTAGGGCCCTTTTGTTGCTGCTCGGGAGCCCCCTTTTTCTGACCTGCTGCTTCTTCGAGTAATCTATGGCGCTTAGGTGTTGCTGCGGACACTACGTTGAACTTTTCTCCTTCTTCTGATGTTTCACTTGGTTCATCCGATTTTACCTCTTCTTCAGGTTCCTTCTTTTCCGCACCTTCTCCTGCCTTGTCCTCCTCTTTACCGCTTTCAGGTTCATCTTTCTTCGCATCTTCTTTACTTCCCTTGCTAGTTTCTGTACCCTTGCTCTTACCAGCATCACCAGGCGGTTTCTCGGCGGAGCCTTTTTCGACACTGAAAAACACAGTATTTTGCAGGCTTATTTAAACCAGGAATTTTAAAAACTCCTAATACAACAGTACTCTTTCACGGCCACTGCATCGAGTTTAATGTTCTTCGTTTCCTAAACAGGCATAGTTCCGATCGCTCTCATAACATTTATGCAACAATGAAAACGGTAAAAACGGTTTTTTGATGAAAGGGACATTCCGTTTCTTGTTGTTGAAATTACCCTGGCAACATTGAAAGTACATAGTTTATAACATCGCAACCAGTCGGGGCGGCGAGAATACCGCGGCATGAGCTCGCCTTTGGGTGACTTGCTCTACCAATGGCGATGGAGTAGTGACCTATTTAGGAAGAAAGCAGCCAGTGGGAGGGGGGGAGGAGAACGCTGCAGGTGGGTATCAGGTACCGGTTCTGGACCCGACTGGTTGCAGTGATATGAACTGTATGTGCAGCCCCCCCCCACCTTGATTGTTCGAGAACCGGTGAGAAAGCACGAGCAACCTTACATATGTCAGAAGTCAGGCTTTCAGCCCATCTCTTGGTACCACAGTGCGTGCGGCGCTCGATTTAGCTAGATGTCGGATCAACACCCCCTCTCAGTTCCTCCTTCCGGTACAACTTCGTCCAACTGTCAGAAATAGAGGTTATGTGGCGTTGCCAGTTAAATGCAAGAGACACGATAAATCCCCAAGACGTGTAGAATCAACATGCCAGGCCATTATCCGGCACCCTTGAGCAGGCGGTGGGTGTGCACATTTTCCCGAGGGGAATTATCCCTGTAGCGCTCTACCAAGCTGCAACATACTGAGCCGGACCCCCACAAACGTCCGACTGATGCTGAGGCTCGTACCACTTTGTTTGTTGAGTACAATTAGAAAACGAAGGAATTGTCCTGCAGCCGCATTTACCGTAGCGATTATTGGCACAATGTTAGCGGGGAAACTCGTCAGAAATCGCTTTCTGGATCATAAAATCAAGGCTTCCTCTGTAAGTTTCACTTCGCTTTTTCCTCTCACTTCGTTTTTTTTTGCCATTTTCCTCGCTATATAGCACCCCTGCTGCCGTTTCGATCGATTACCGAATTATGGTGCCACCTGAGGAGGGCTGAGCTGATCTTACTCCTATAAGACATGCCCTTTTTTTGTGCATGTTTTTCGAACAATTAAAGGCAGTTGGCACGATGGTTTCCTTCTTAGCCTGAATTGCTAGTGGAGCGCTGCCATAGTGGGAAAATGACGGAAACGGAGTGAAACGGCCCCTGGCCTAAGAAAAAGCCTCCGCTTCTCAATTACTGTAGATCGTTTCGGACGCGTTTCCCGTAGCGCATCTTCCAATCATCCGCCTACGGAAGATTACGGCCTGGCATATGTGTGTACCCATATATGGCATGGCAGCAACACGCGTCGCAGCTTCTTCTATCCTTCCTGCTTATAATTTGCTTCAGCAAGTGAATGAATACGCAGCGCAGGAATGGTGGTTCATCTGTGGGGGCGGGCGTATGTGGGCGGTGTGCGAGACGATAATGTTGTCGGCTTGAAAAGTATGAGGCAATTATAAGTGGGCACTTCGCCTCGGGAAAAACGGTCTATGCAGCGCTTGCCCAGGGCCGGGGAATTCTATCCTGCCAGGAGTATTGATTCTAGTCGTCTTATTAGGGAATTTATCATGCCAACTGCCTTTAAGCTCAGAACTTTAAGAATCTGCGCGCCTCGTTTTTATAGGCTCAGAGGATTCATGAATCAGGTAATCTCATATGTTTACCAGTTGAGGGAATTATCAACAGAAAAGCTGGATAAAGAGATTGCGAGCTAGGATTCCCTCATTCTGCGGCGCGTACTAGGGAAACAAGAATTTTTGGTTGCAGAACTCACCCTGAGAAACATGAAAGTTATTATGAAACTGAATATGTTCGAACAAAGGATTGTAATCATGATTCCGGGCTCCCAATGGCCTTTAAACTTGCCTACCTAGAATAAATTGACTTGGTGAGCAGTTAGTAACCTTAACTCATCACTCCTATTTGCACAGGCCTACCGTTCGAGCAGCAGCAATGTTCCCGATTCTTGTTACAATGTTGAGTATTGCCGTAACTTTGGCTCGAGCTTCTGTGGGTATTAACTCGGCTGCACTCAAATAGTTCGTTTCCCATGATACCGAAATCGAATTGTACGCTAAGAGATATGTAGCGAAGTACAAATGCGTCCCCTGAAATATTCCATCATGAAGTTTGTCCTTTTCTCTGACGTGCAGTCGCGCCGATCTTTCAGGCTAGTCAATTATCAGAAAAGAAAGAAGGGCACTATTTACCCTTTACTGCCCCAGTCTTCCAAAACAGGCCAGTTTTTGACCGACTTTTTTCTCCGTGGCAGAATTGGCTGAAAATTTGTTTCCTGGGTAGTTTGACCTCCTGAACATGAATATCACATCCGCTCGGCACGAAACCTCCTGGCGCCCGCGCCACAGGCGCCGGCGCCAAAATACCCTAAATCACCAAATTCGCTGAAAACTTGTTCCCAGGGGTAGTCTGACCTCCTGAACACGAATATCACATCCGCTCGGCACGAACCTGGCGCCCGCGCTACGGGCGCTGACGGCAAATTACCCCAAATCATCTCTGGCCTGTGGCGCGGGCGCCAGGAAGTTTCGGCTGAGCGAATGTGATATTCGTATTCAGGAGGTCAAACTACCCTAGGAGACAACATTTGAGCCAAATCTGTCCACGGAGAAAAAAGTCGGTCAAGAAACCGGCTCAATTCTGGATGGTTGGGGCAGTAAAGGGAAAAAAGAAAAAAAAAGTTTTAAGATGTAGTTTGTTCTGCCAAAGAGCGTCTTTGACCTCTTTGGCAGAACAAACTACAACTTAAAAGTTCACGATAATGCCGAGTTTTTATGAAGAGAGAAGCTGGGCTCGAGAAAAGAAACAATTGTTGGTACCTTCATATCGTTTACATTCTCATAAAGTAAAGCGGCGGCTGCAAATATGCAAGTACCCATCGACAATATGTACACAAGCCTTCGTCCTAGCCAGAGAAGTCTATCGTCAGCAATGCCAACAAGCTGAAATGGTTGATCTAAGCGGTTTGTTTTGCACATCGGCGGCGTGAATAATCACTTTTTTATCATCGAATGCTACTTGGTTGCTAGAAAACTTGTCAGGGTCTTGACTCCCATATCTATAAATTATAGGTCCTCCTGTATACACTCTAGTTCTCTGCGGACGGTTGGGCGTGTCAGCCAGTATGAGTGTGTCACCCTATCAAAGCCGTTCTCTGCCTTCTTGTTGAAGAGCGCATGCGACAAAAAGTGGTAGAAGACGAGTAATACGAAGGATATGATACAGTATTGTCACTTGCCCGCTTCAACAACTGGTGTAGAACGAGTTTGGCACCGCGCCAAACGCAGCCGCACTGACACGCCCAACCGTCCGCAGCGAACTACACTATACGTGGACCACATCAGCTGTCTGTCTGTTTGTGTCTATCTGGGGCCGGTTTGGGGGGGGGGACCGGTCAACGGTGAGTTCGGTAGAGCATGGGCCGAGATGCACGGAACACACGCAAACTTAGCTAAGCCCCGATCACTCTGAGTGAGGCGTGCGCCTAGCCAGGAGCCACATACTGTACTCATCATTACGGACTGTCGGGGCGTGTCAGCCAGTAGGAGTGCGCACACTGTTGAAGCCGTTCTCAGCCTTTTTGTTGAAACGCGTATGCGACAAAAAGTGGTAGAAAACGAGTAATACGAAGGATATAATACAGTAATGTCACTTGCCCGCTTCAACAATTGGTGCAGAACGACTTCGGTACGCGCCAAACGCAGCCGCACTGACACGCCCCGACAGTCCTAATGATGAGGATTGTATTTTAGGAATTTTAACTCGGTCCCGGGTAAGCCCGTAGAACGGGAAAATAAGTAACCGATGGGAAGGTGGTAAGAAAAGCACATCCTCATTGGATGGGGCGTACCAGGCGTACTCCGGTCCGTACCGCGGCGTACGGCGCTCGCTACAAAAAATTTAAAAGGTTGTGGTTCAGTTCCTGGCAAGCCCCTTGAGGGGAAAAGTAAGAAGCGAGAGGGAATGGGCTGGCGGACGCGAGGAATACCTGCGAACAGCAACTACTACTCCTCCTTCTACTTATATCTGTATCTGTTGCGATGATTTGAAAGGTTTGTACTTACACTAAACAGCTGGAACTAGACAAAAAGCGTGAGTATAACTAAGAAATGTCCTGATTGTCAGTCAGTCGAAATAATCCACTCGTTCCAGCCATTTAAAATGAAACCGGTGTTGCTTTCTGGCATATCATACTAGTGGCATGCGTTACGTACCGCCTAGTTCGCTGGGATGATGAGGCGTGTCAATGCGGCTGCGTTTGGCGCAGCGCCAAACCTCTTCTACACCAGTTGTTAGCGAATAAGTGAGAAGACTGTGTGATGGCGTTCAAATTACTTGTTTTCTACCAACTGTTGTTGCATACCCGCTTCAACAAATGAACGAGAACGGGTGTGGCGCTGTGGCTGCTCGACACGCCCCTTCATCCGCAGAGAAATAGGGTTCATGCAATTCATAGAATGCGCTTCTAAGGACAACTGCGCCAGGTAGCATTCACCCGATTCAGAGGTGGGACGCCACATCAGCGTGATGACAGTTGCAATAACGGCAACGGTCCTGCTTTTCAGCTGGTTTATGGCTGCCAAACCCGAACTATCGCAGCGCGCCCACTAGAGAAAATGGCGAACTGCTTCTTCATTCTAAAGCGTAATGTATAAGCATTTAACAGATTGAAGCATAAGTGAGCCACTACTACTTCAAAATGCCTTTGAATAAAACTGTGACAGACAATCATAATATAGTACAGTAGACATACCACTCGCACTATTGAGGCTAATCCTGCATTGACGATTTGGCCCACCCAAAGATTTTTGGTCTGGTCCTCACTGTTCAAATCAATACTATATGTACTCAGACCAGCACAAAACCACCTTAAATTTGATTGCGTTGGGATTGCACCCGAAAAAATGTTTAGAGAATGACACGCACAACTATGTGGATCAGGCTCACCTATTTCACTTTACTCGATGCTTACATCTATTCGTGCGCATTAACGGAAGCATAGTC